TCAAGCCATGTGTAAGGCTAGTTGCTGCTGGTACCTCGTATTTTGGTGCTTCGCATCATACATCTGGGCTCTTCAGACGGTGGGTTTGTGTTGGTAACATTCTCTTTACAAAAATATTTCAGGAGTGATTTTCTCACAGGACTAAGAGTGGCAAAAGTATATTATTGGAGAAAAAAAAAAAGAAAAAAGTCACCCCTCTAGAGGTGGAAGTAATCTTTCGATGCATGGCATAATGGTTCAAGTACTCAGCATTTTCTTCTAAGTCAGACTTCGTGGAGGAGGATGAACCTTTGATCTTTAGCAAAGCTTTTTAAATGTGGTTATGGCCAGAAGAGTGAATGTAAAGAGCTCAAAGACAATATTCAGTGAAAATTCATTGCATGCACCTGGAAAGAGTCGTTATTGTAGACATTGGGTTATACCTGGGATGAAAGCTCTGACTACTGTCACCTCACCAGCTCTTGTTTTCATGACCTTTCTCCTAGAGCTGAACCCAGGGAAGTGGGAACTTCTAGCGAGCTTTCCTTGCCAGTGAACTTTGGATAAGGTTAAAAACCTGAACTTTTAGGGGCCTCATCCAAGGCAAACCTCTAGAGGTTAGCGAGGACATTAGGATATCCTGGGGCTAGCTCTATTATTAGTGCAATAATCAGTGCAACAAAGACTGTGTCAGCGACTGTAAACAGAAGAACATCAAGGTAAATGATGATGTTTCACATCATATGTCTGCATTGCACAGTTGCCCCTGTTTTTTACCTAGGGGCTGTTTCTCAGACCCATTCCTTTCATATATTGGCTCAAATGTCCTGCTCAATTCATTAACTAAGTGAAAACTTTTCTAAAGCTTGCATGCCATCTCCATTTCACAGTAAGGAATCAGGATAACTTGAAGCGTTGGTGGACTGTCAGCCCTCCCCACTGTGCTACCTGCATGACCAGAAGAACAGACTGGCTTTCCTGCAGCACGCAGGGACAAAATCAAAGTGTACCTCACCTTACTGTAGCCCTTAGACCTGGGTTTAGATGGCTCATCTAAAAAAAGGAAAAACTGCAAATTCGACCTCCTACAACTATAAGCAGTTGGTTATTAATAATAGCCATATCACATATTCATGTCTAAGGGATCCAGAACTGTGTGCCAGCTCTATGCAGAGCTGTTTCAGCAGTCATAGCAATGGGAGCCTTTCATTTGTGGCAGTTCAGCGGTGGGCTGCCCTGCAAAGGCTGCGGCTGTGCTTCACAGGGAGTTGAATTTGCCTATCACTGCGCTGCAAGCTGCCGTACATGGGATTTGCCACATTTATGCCAGGAATGTGATTAAAAACTGGAAAAACTGAAGCTAGCCTATTCCCAGAGGCAATATAATGTAACATATATGCCAGAATAATACACACAAGACCCCTGTCTCAGACTCAGTCTGGCCAGCTCAAGGACGCAGCCCAGGAGGCAACAACGTTGGGGGGAACCCTGACGAGCTGCGGCCTGTCTGGTTAGGTTATGTTAGCACCTTTAATGTGTCAGTGTGTTTTCCCAGTTGCCCGTCACCAAACGCTAAGTAGCTCTCAATTCCAGGGGATAGAAATTTGCCCTCTGGTATTCAATTTAACTGTTGATCTCTTCCTCAGCCAGAACTGAAGCAAACACTTCCTGAACAGACTAGTCCTTCAAAACTGAATCTAGCCAAGCAGAGCCTCTGGTAGTGAGTACAAGGAAGGTTGTACACATTCCCCATCTGTGTCTCCAGCCTGAAACTCCGGCAGGGCCAGCCAAGCCCTGTCCTCTTCCAAGAGAGTTAAACTGAGTCCCGGGTAGTCCTCGCTGCTAGGACGTTATCTGAGTGGTCCCTGTACTTTGACACTGCCAGCTAAAGGCTACCTGTTGCTTGCCACCCCTTTGTTTTTCTCTTAAGCTATAGATGTACACACCAAGGAGAAGCTGATTGCAGCAGGGGTTGGCAGCATGTCACCCAACTTCCCTTGCATGCAATCAGCAATACTTGTTTGCTATTTGCATGCACGACCTGGATCGTAAGCAGGTGTTACAAGCCACTATCTCTGCCTGATCTGCTCTGTGTGTCTTCAGTTCCCCCAGAGCCTTGAGTCTGTAGCTTTTGTGGCTGTCACTAACTCAGGGGTTTAGCTCAAACGATTCCTGGTTCAGCAACTGCTTGGGCCTGCCATGATGGCAGCCATCGCATTTGAATTTCTTTTCCTGTGCGCGACACGGTTTTAAGGATGGTAGAGTTTGCAGTTTGTATGCATTCAAGCAGCAAAATGCAGAGCTTCTCGGTGCAACTGCTGCCTGCCTGTGAGATTATCATTATCCCCGTTAAGACCAGTTACCGCTGTAGGCAGGGCCTAGCAGCCACTTTGTCTTTCAAGGAAGATCCTTATCTCAGGAGGCAGGCTTCTCCATCAGATATTCTGTATATCAGAGAAAAGTGTGTATTTGCCTGTGTATGTAAAGATAGTTGTACTTGGATGCAGCCCTAATCATTGATCCTAGTCTAGCACAGTTCTTTGGGGTGAGGTTTTTGTTGGGGTTTGGGTTTTTGGGGTTGGTTTTGGGGTTTTTTTGGCGGGGGGGGGAGGGCAGTTAGCCGGAAAGATCCCTGCTTTCCAATTTTTTTCCATCAGAACCTTTCTTTGGAAGAAAAATGGCTTTAGGCAGAAAAAGCATTACCTCAGATATTGTTTCCTTAAAAAATCCCAACTTTGTGTATGTTGTTAGACTGGAAATCTCGAAAACCAAACATTTAAAAATTTTATTTCATGAATTTGCAGTGGTACTCATGGTTTCCTTGCCTCTGACCAGTAAGATGCATAGCTGAGACTGGGTCTAGAGAGTCATAAATTAGTCCAGCACCCCAGGTATTTGCGGTTCACCTACTACCTCATGCCATAATGCAGGGAACCCCACATTTTTTGTACTGAAAGGAAGCGGAGACTTACAGAAGATGTGTCATTTAGGAACCCCTGCCTGTCATTCTGACTTCAGTAAATCAGAGAAGCAGCAAGTCACTATATCCTTACCTGTGATGGAAAAGCTTGCTCCCTTCTAAGAGCTGCCACCAGAAGATCTCGTGTTCTTGTACCTTTCGACACAGGCAAAGTTTATAGCCTGGAGGTAGTCTCAAACCCTTTAAGGAGTTTCTGACACAAGGCTGTGATCACACAGGGTTGCACCACAAGGAAATTCTTCCGAGGGGCACCTTCCACTCCCTAGCTTACTCTAATTAAAGCAGAAAAAGGGAGGGAGTACTTTTGAAAAGTTGTGCCTCCACTACAAAAAAGCTGTTGGAAAGGATGAACACAATATGAGCTCCTTGCAACACACAGCATTAGGCAGTGTGGGGTAAAAGCTCTCATTTTTGTTGCTGAAAGGCTGTAGCCATCTCTGCTGATCAGTGTGAGAGGTTGCTCACAGAATTTTTATAGCAAATACTGTAATTTCAGCAGGACTTACGCAGATGTTTGAGGGTTCCTCCGAATTCAAGCTGAGTCAGGCCCACTTAAATTCTAGGCTACTCAGGCTTTTCTGGTTTTGTTACGTGATCTGAGATGAGAGATAGAAAATTGCTGATATTTGTAAATGCAGAGCACTGACCTGACTCTTTCTAAATAAGTGGGTTAATTTCAAGCGGAGAGGGACTCTCATGTTTACCCAGTAGACTCTAAGTATTGACATTTTTTGTGATGATATCATGAGCCTGGTCATATCTGATTTGCACTTAGATTCTTGAGTAATTGGAGGATTCCAGCAGCTGCACTTTTCTAAGTTTTCAGAATTTCTGTTTCTCTCCCTGGTTATGGAAGAATTTGCAAAACTAACCTCAGAAACAACTACTGGGGGGGAGGCGGGGAGAGAGCAGTAATTTATTACATTGAAAAGCTTGTGATGTGGACTGTCTCCTGTGTATTTTGAGCACTGAGGGTTGAGCAACACACCAGCTTTCAAAGCAAAGACAGTGTCTGTACATTCACAGGTAACCCACTGCTGCATACACATCAATGTTACGGGTCTTTTGAATGCTGGGTCCACAGAGTGGGTGAGTCTGTTGCTGCCTTTGTTTCAGAGGTCTGCTCCATTAACTCACGTTAAAGTAGTGTGTGCTTTTAGTTTGGGAGGTTCCTCGTTCAGTTTCTGGCTTGCCAGCCATAATGGCAGCTGTGTTATGTGCGGTTAACTTAGCTCCATAAAGAACATGCAGACCTTGTCAGATGCACTTTGAATAAGGCAGGACTGTGCCAAAGCCTTTATGAGCCTGGCATGCTTCATTTAGAAAACCCAAGCGCATCAATGCAAGGAAATTGATAGTCAAAACTTTTTGTCAACATTTGGAGTTTCAGCAGGAAAAAAAAAAAGGATAACAATTTCCTGTTTTTAAGCATTTCTAGAAATGCACAGTTTGGTAACTCACCAGTCCTACACTTCCCACAAAATAAACAAAAAGTGTAAAGTAATGCATTTTTTATCCCACCACTAACACCCATAACTCTGACCTGTACTGACTGCTTCTCCTTCACTAGTAACCTCAAAATATAAACACCACACAAAACCCTTTGAAAGAAGATGTATAGACCTTCAAATGACACTCCAGAAATGTTACATACTACATATCTCTTTGGTTGGTTTTGGACCAGCAAGTGCAGGCAGGTGGGCAGATAACTATGAAATTGCAGATGAAGCTGCTTACAGCAAGCAACGAGAAGGATATATCACCTAACAGCCACCTTTACTGTTTGCAGAAGTCAAGATAACCTTAATTCTTGCTCCACCCAGAGCAACACAGCAGCTAGCAAAGTAACCCACTGGTTTTGCATACGGGTTAATGGACCCCAAAGAATCTGATTCAATCTGCAATCCTGGCAGATGGCAATTTCAGACAGCGCTGGGCAGCTGTGGGGCCCTTGCAGGTGCTCACCAGCTCAAAGAGAGAATAAAAGTGGAGTTACTAGTTTAGTCATGACTCTGAGCACTTGGGTTTTTTTTCTCCTCAGGAGGCTCTGTCGGTGGTGAGCGACGACCAGTCCCTCTTTGACTCCACGTACGGCGCTGCCACTCACCTCCCCAAGGCAGATATGACAGCCTCAGGGAACCCTGACTATGGCCAGCCGCACAAAATCAACCCTTTGCCACCTCAGCAGGAGTGGATTAATCAGCCCGTCCGGGTCAATGTAAAAAGGGAATATGACCACATGAATGGATCAAGGTAAGGAAAGACCCTTTCCACATCTACTGAATCTTAAATAAAAGCAAAGCCTGTATCGTCCATTCATGCTCTTGTCCTGCCTATCAACAAACTCCACTCTTTGTGTAGGACCCCATCCAGCTGCCCCTGGAGTTCCTTTGTCACTCATTTTTTAATGGCCTGAGGATCTTGCTCTAGCAGTTCTGTGTCATTCATATCTACCAGTCTCCATGAACACTGTGCAGACTGGGACATGAGACTGCCAGGAGAGCGTTCATGCTGCAAACACTGTTGTAAATTACACATTTCATCACTTAGTTCAGCATCCCACGAATGTGCCATGGTTCAAGGGGCTCCTGAAGATGGAGTCGGTCATGCAGTAGTAGCTGGTGTTTATACCAGTGCTCCAGAGTGAAGCTAGTGAAAGCTGCACTAATGGACTCTATGCGCTTCACTGGAGGGCACTTCTTACTGCATCTGTAACTAGATTCGTGCTCCGTCAAGGCAGAAGCAACCATATGAAACTGGAGAGCTGCTTGATGGAGAAGGGAAAAAGAGGAGACTGAGGTCCTTTTTGGCAGTCTATGAGGTGTAACAAAACAAAAGGCATATACCCGGGTGTTCTGTGTGAATATATGCGACCACTGGTGAAAAAGAGAGTTCAGGAGTAGATTTGAGCAGTGACATTAACCATCAGAGGGACACTGGTTGTGATGTGTCCTCTACAGCTTTTAGCCAAAGAGGTAGGAGGCCTGCTCCCCATCATTTGTAGTTATTGCTGGGGGAGATGGATCATTTCCCTGTTCAATGAGAAATTCAAAGACTTGAAACCTTTTTACTATCGCAGCTCAGGTTGTCTCTTTGAAAAACATTTCTACAAGTCCAAAGCCTAGGAAAAAATTTCACCTCTTGGAGAAAATCTTTAGGTGTAGAAATTACAATTTTTTTTCAGTTCTAAATATATACAATAAAGAAAAACTATTTTATTTTTTAGCATTAGGTTTTAGAGATCATATTAATTTTAAATTTGATTTTAATTTCAAAGTCACAAACATCTCTAACATTTGTACAATGTTAATACAGGACAGTTAAACAATCAAGGGAGTTTCTTCTTTAGGATTAGTTTAGGGCTTCTGTAACAGCCTATTTTCCTGGTTTCTGAGAACCTAGCAAAGTGTAGAGTTTGAAACAGAAAGCAGCCTCGCACTTTCAGACTTCTGTAGTGAGATGATGGTGTTAAAGACTTGAAACAGCAGCATATTTTTTTTCCTCGTAAGTATACAGTAGATGCTGATTTTACTATAAGATAAAGGTCTTTGCGTCAGTTGGTCTTTGACAGTGATCATTTGTAGACTGAATTTGATCTTGCCCCAGTTGTACCTTAGTATCATTTCTGGACTTCATAAGAACTACACAGATTTTTGCACTAGTGCTTCCAGTCTCAGAGTTGAGCCTGAAACATGGGAAAATTAGTTATTTCCTGAAAAACACCATCCCTGCATAACACAGGCAAAAGGATGGATCTTGAAAGTACCTGCAAGTTTGGCTTTTTTGATAGTCACAAGGACTACCTTTGGCTACCAAAGCTAGTCTTCTTAAGCTATCCCTAAATTCTTCAAGAGGGCAATGCGGAGTGGGATCCTGAGCAAACGAGCAAGGCTTGTGCATGGTGCTGTGCAGGTCTGACCTCTCCATCCTGCAGAGAGGTGAACCAGTCATGAGAACTGAGGTGGCCGAATCAGCCTCACATATGGCACAGGCAACACGCTCCCACGATCATGTGAGGACTCCCTTTCTAGCATTGCATCAGTTGCTCACACCCATAGTGTCAGACCAACACAGAGTGTTTCCTCCCATTATGCTACTTGTCTGTCTCACTCCAGCAAATTTTGGAGGGCCAAGGGAGCAAGTAGTCCTGTTGCAGGCAACACATATTTGTGCTTTTCAGATCCTGTAAGCACATGTTCTCTATGGATTCTGCATGTGTGTTGTACTTCTATGTCCAAAAGTTTATGTAACATTCTCGTTGTATGTGTATTGCATGGACTTGGAATGAACTGTGTCAGGGTGTCCTTCCATTGTGATCTTTGTGTTACAATTTCCTCATCTGCTCAGAAAAAAAAGGGAAATAATACTGCTTTGACAAACTGATTCATTAACAACTGTAAGTGCTCTGATACCCATGGAAAAAAGCCCTCCAGAAGTGTGTTTATTCTGGGCAAAAAGGAAGTCCTTCTTTATGGGCTTGCTCAAGGCTACAAGATTCTTAGGCAGAAACTAAGTGTCCTCAGTCTCTCTAGAAGAGGCGTAACAACTTCCCAACCTGTTAGGAAAAAAAGAAAAGACTGTTTTGAATGTCAAAACTAAGCTCTGAAATAGCTTCCAGGCTTGCCTTTTGATAACTTATTAGCACAAGAGGTCCAATCCACCCAAGAAATGGGAACATTCATCTGAGTTACCCATCTTCTCGTCCTATTCATGGCTAAAAATTTGCCCTTTCCCCATACGTCCATCACAGTTCATTGTTGTGGGTTGGGCCACTCCAGTCCCTCTGCTTGTCCCTCTGCTCGTCAGCTGCCTGGCAAAACTGACACACCATCTGAGCGGCAAACGCCAATCTCAATACAAATTAACTTGAACTGCTGACTGAATAACAAAACCTATTCCCCCTCCCTCTCTCTCTGCCTCTCCTTCTCTCTCTTGTTTTTCAAGCACACTCTGTTACTGGGTTCCAGCTGCCTCATTAGAGGGAGCAGCCTTTATTCTGTGCTTCACCTGTACTTGAAGCGCTAGCATTTTCTGCTTGTCAGGAGAATGGTTTATGTACTCTGGGGAGTGATAAAGCTATAGGAAACCTGACAGTGGAGGGAGCTGGATGACGGCAAGAGACAGTGTCCAGCTTTTCTTCTTTTTCTTAGCAACCAGAAGCAGGTCTGACTGCCATGAGGTATAGCGTGATGAGTTGGTTTGGTCCTCAGCAGAGTGGGAGAAGGGGTCTTTGAAGAACCTCTCCAAGCCTGTTTTGCAGAGCCACCCCTCCAAGTGCTAAACAACATGGAAACCCTGACCAGCCTTCTACCCCATGGCAAGTTTTCCTGGTTTACTCCCAAATTGGAAAGAGTTTCCCAGATAACTGCATGCTAACTGTGTATAGGGGATATTCAGGCAATGGCAGAGATCTGTGTTTTAGGGGAGAAGATGGGACTTCTGTATTACTGCAAGATTCAGAAGTAGAAATTTTGTGAAAGTTTCTAGTATTACCAGACCTGGATGCAGTATATGGCCTCAAAATCTGTCCTTGCCTTCACAGACAGCTGCTTGCTCAGGACAAAACCCAGTGCTACATTTGTGTTTCGCAGTGATTAGTGTCCAAACACAAGGCAGTTAAAATCCAACATAGAAAAATTAAAATCCTTGTGCTTCTTACACCCCCTTAGGCATTGGGAAAGGGAAATAGTCTTGTATTTGTAGCACTGACCTGTTACACACAAAAAATAGAAGTCCAGCTTTTCCATAGTTTTACTGCAAGATGTTCTGTATACCATTCATCTTTCTGCATCCATTTGGGGACTGGAAGCGTGGCTTGCAGTCTTTCTTCTTTGCTGAGTTTGTATCTTTTGTTTATTTCATTTATAGCCCATTCAGGGAAAGATCGGTCTCCTACAAAGTGCTTGTACAGTTCCCAACATACTAGGCCTGGATTTCTGTTGGGACCTTTAGAAGCTTTTGTGATATAAATATGATAATTTATATTTTTAAAAAACCAAAAATCTTTCACATTTTAAATTCCAACTAATAAAGGAGGAGGATTATTTAGAAAAATGGTGGGTAAAGTTTAACCCAATTTACAGTCCATTTTAATAATTGATTTTTCCTTATATTTTACATAAATTCCAAATGCAAAGAATGAACCAAACAACAGATGTTCCAAATTTTGACTGTATTTACTGAGTTACTACAGATCTGCATTCGTAGCTAAACTCAGAGAGTGATTTTTAAAAGGTCGTTACAAAATTTGTATGATCTTCAAATGTGAAAGAATATTCTAATGGGCTGGATGTGTACATGATTGTGGGCAAACTTCACTGTGTAGTTCCAGCTGATGTTACCAATTTTGTCTAGCTGAAATAATGAAGTCAGTGCTTTGCAAATGCTTTGGAGATGTTCTCTTGCTTCAGAATATTAAAATAATGCTAAGGTTCAGGGATCTCAGAACATTTTTATGCTACAATAATTTTCTCAAAACAAAACAAAGAGACCATCTATGATGTCTAGAATAAAAAGCCCCTTTAAGTAGCGTGTGAGCCCTCTAGTGGGATTCGCTGTGTTGTTCTAGTCCCCAGCCAGAGCAGCAGACTGTGCAATTAATTACCTACTGTTTGCATTTACCTGTATGTGATATACACAATTCTTTTAGACCCTACTGAGCCTCTGTGCTTTCCTCATGCAGTTTGAGTTTTGTAACCTCTATGTCTTTTTCCATCCTTTTTACAGCTGTCCCTTCTTTCTGCAGACTTGCAGTCTTTTTCAGTGTGAACCTCCTCCTGAGGCATTCCTGAGAGCAGGGGGAGAGGCAGCATTAAAGGGCAGTTAGATGCGAGTTTTGAGGAGCTGTGATTCTGCCCTGATAGCTCTGTTCCCTGCCTGTGAGAGGGAACCACAAGCAGAATCACAGCATGTCTGTTGTTATTTCCTTCAATGAACAACAAAAAAATTAAAATCTAATTTCAAGTGTAAAGATTAAAGTTGAGATGACCAAATGGGGACTTAAACCAAAAAGTGGCAAATTTAAAAAGAAAAGAAGATGGGAAGAGAGGAGGAATGAAGAGATAGGAAGAAAGGAGTAGAAAGAAGGAGGAAATATCACACTGACCGCAGCTGAGTCAGGTTCAGAAATCACTGAAATCCCTTATTTTGCTCTTTCGAATGAAAGCCAAAGGTGATTCCTAGACAGAGGCCCTGGGACAGTAATTGCTTTATTTTCAGGTATCTGGAACACAGGCTGAAGCTGTACAGAGGATTTATTAGTCAATGCCAGGCTAGCTGCTTGTGCATTTTGGCCAGTCTAGCATAAACTTTCCCAAAACACCAAGCTCTTGGCATCCCCAGAGACTGCTACTGGAGCTGCTGGAACGAAGAGTCTTTGGACAGACAGTGGGAATGACTACTGCTTCATATTCCTTGGACTCTGTCACTGCCACACTGAATACACTTAAGAGATCTTGTGAAAGCAGCCTATATCCATTTACCTTAGTAGATCTACAGCGTTTTCTGCCCCAGAACCTGAGCAAGTCCAACATGTATGGCCACTTGAATGTCTGAGGTCTCTGTGAAAAGTCAAGGATTTAATCTGGCATCTGAAATCCCCTCGCACAAACCATTTCAAATAATGAGGAAATCTTTATATAAATCTAAGTCTGCTTGTGGGTGATGCATGAACTAAGAAGGGAGCTATATTCAATGAATACACTATTCATGGCTCACAGCTCCCTGTTCTCATTTGATACTGTAGTTGTTCCCCACACTGAATTCTTCTCTGTGTTGCCCACAGCTACACCTACCTTCTCCTGGGATACTGTTAAATCCCTCATCTTAGGCTGGGGCAGTGCAGTAATGGGCATCCAGAAGCTGCGAAGACAATTCAGTCTGGTAGTGCTGTCTCATTTCCCAATAAAAGGCTCCATTTGGATCTGGTAGGAAATGTTGGGTTACAGAGGACACAAAAGTAAGGATCTTCCCGCTTGCCGTCACTAAAAATTTCATGGTGTTTTTCATAAGGACAGTTCGGTCTCCTGCCCAGCTAAGTTTTGGTAATGCTATTCCCAGTTATGTCTGTCCTTCTGCTATCAGATTTCCACTGGGGTTAGCTCTGGATCCAACCATCCTGAAAACTTCCTCAGAGGGAAGGGAGGTGTCTATACAGCCACACAGACACAACCCTGTCAGGTACACGGAGCACGTTTAACGTCCTGCAGGGTTAAGAGAGTGGCTTCTCTTCCCACAGTGGTAAATCAGTGGTTGGTAAGGGCACCTCAGTCACTTAAACTTCTTTTCTGATCTGTCTCTTAGACTTGGTTGTCTCGTTTTGACTGCGGAGACATACAGAGCAAGGCAAAGGATAGGCAGGGTCCTAACTGCCAAGCCAAGAGTCTGCAAAGTGAAAAATCATCACAAAACCGCCGAGGAGATATCTTACAGTGTTGGTGTTTTTTTTGTTACTTTGCTGTATCGGTCATGTGAATGTGTGTGATACTTAGCAGAGAGAATAGAGACCGCCAGGGACCCTGTGGTCTTTTCACTGGTGTCATTTCATGCCAGTAGAAAGCATGTATACTCCTAGGCAGATAAGCTTTTTAGAAGATGTTATGATCTGAGAGTCTGGATATATCCTATAGTTCTGCACGAGTAGTATACATGTAAGTATTTTACCACAGATAGTGTGTATCTCAGCTGCGGGGGTTATTTTCCAGGGAAATTTAATGACCGAGCAGGGGGGGTGGGAGTGAACCCCTAAGAAGGACCTTAGGCAGCAGGTAGTTGTGCCAGCACCGCTAGCACCTGGGACCTGCTGACTGCAGGGAACGCGAAGAAAATTTTACTGTTGTGTCTGAAGGAGGGAGAACTTAATCCCAAACCATACGTGGGGATGTGTGTGTTCAGGTCTGCCCCACCAGCTGGGCTGCTCATACCATTTAAAGTCAGCACCTGGTCTCCAGGCCGGGCGGGCGAGGAGGTTGGTCACCTCCCAGGGACGGTGAGCACTAAGCTGAACAGAATCTGACACCCTGAAGCATGGATGCTCTTGCCGTTTCACCGAGTCTTCTCAGGACAGCCCGTACCTCAGGAAAGAATAAGAACCTTTGTGCTGCTTCAGGGCTTTTTCTCTGCCAGTACAGGCAGCATTTAACACCTGACACAGAGTATTTCAACAGAAAGTTAGAAATGATCACATTCCCTGTGAAAACCCTGGTGTCCCTGCAGTTGCTCAGACTCTCCTTTGACTGCCACGGGGACATTAAACCTTCAGCAGTTTGCCTCTCTGAAGGCGGATTTTGGTTCCCTGCCTGGAAAAACAGTAGGCGAAATAGTAAAACCTTAAATTCGAACATGTGTAAGTTATACATCTTATTTCCATTTTCAAGCAACATTCCCTCAGTAAGACATGAGGAAAAAATTACCATCTGCCTTAGAATATCTCGGTGGAGCATTTATCTCCCAGCCATGATAACTGAATTTCAGTAATTTCTCCCTCCCCCACCATTCAGATTAAGAAACAAATTTGTTTAGTGTCCAAACTTGGAAGTCTTGCCAGCTGGACTCAGAGGGTGGGATTTGGTGCACTGTCATAGCTCTTACCCTTCAGCGAACAGTTTCCTCCCAGACGACTTTGCTTCTTGCAGGGAAGAAGGACAGCTGCACACCTAAAGCAGTGGACTGAACTGCAGTGGGTATAGGCTCTGTGCTCACTTTGCACAGAGATTGCACACTAACGCACCCTTGTAGAGGTGAGGGCAATAATGCTGCCCTTCCCTGGTACGTTCTTCAGAGCTGGGATGTGCTGTGTGCCTGTGGCAGGCTGTGGACTGGTATTTTAAGTGACCTCTAAAGCTAAAAGCATGACTTCCTACTGCAGCTGGAGAAAAACAAAATCTGTGCTCCCTATCTGTGGTTTGGAGGCTCGTAATTCTCCCAGAGCAGGACAGAGAAAGCCTATTGCTTGCCAAGGGTCTGCATGTAGTCCAGGTCTTAGCACAGTGCCACCTGAGTTGCTAAATGTTCCCTCCTCATCACTCCATCACCTCAGAAGTAAAACTGGAGCCAGAGACTTTTTCACACACAGTTTCTGTGGTCTGAAGTTCTTGACTCACGCCTAAGGCACCTAAGATTTCTAGATTTCCTATCCAAGTGGTAGACAAGCCTGGGACTGTTTTAACTGTTAAGAACAGACAAGATCAGTTACATTCAGCCCTGTATAAATAAGACTCTTTAGATACCATGCTAATATTGTAGTATTCTCTTGTGACTATCCTGTCATTCTGGCATGGGAATTTTGTGTTCTTTGTTAATGAAATGAAAGGAGGTGTATCTATTTCTGATTAGCTCTGCAGAAATGCCTTAGGTCATGAGGTGAGAAGTACAGCCTTTCTGTCAATTAACAGACTCCACTGCAACAGAAAGATGGTGTGCAGGGTTGTTTTTAACACAATGCAAGAGTGAAATAGTCCAACAAGGGCTCCTAGACCATCAAGCTGTGTCTGAAGGATTGCTAAAATGCAACTGAGCAATAACAGATGAAGGGGGAGTGAGGGGTGTAACCAATAGACTTACGGGATAGGCACTTGCTTTTTACCTGGTTCGTGAGTTTTGATATTTCAGAGGTATTGAGTATGGCCTTACAGCTACCATTGCCTTTGTCTGAAAGTCCCTCTTTTTTGAACCTCCAACTCTCTTTCCCCAACTGGTTTCATTATCAAAGATCCTCTCCATGAGACTTGTGATTCATAGATCACCTTATGACATTCATGTGACAGGCCGGGACTGGCCTCTCCCACATGTAAAGAAACTCCCCTTAACTTTTCACCTTTGGGATATTTGCCATTTCTGTAACCCAAACCTCCTTCTGCTACAGCAGGGATGAAAGGTGCATAATAATGACAAGTCATCTGTTTCCTTTTGCATTTCAGGGAGTCCCCTGTAGACTGTAGTGTGAACAAATGCAGCAAACTCGTCGGAACAGGGACAGAGTCCAACCCAATGAGTTACAGCACCTACATGGATGAGAAGAATGGGCCTCCTCCCAACATGACCACCAATGAGAGGAGAGTCATTGTCCCAGCAGGTACCACCGCCGTCGAATTCTTTGTGTCGTATTTCCTTGCACTGTCTTAAATAACAGATAAGGCTTCTTTAACCACTCTCTGAGGAATTCTCTTTCTTACAAACCATGTAAAAAGTAAGGAAAACATCAGAGTTTCTGGCTAGTGGGAATTTCCCGTGTCCCAGTGTATGTTCTACCTTGAAGCAGAATAAGAAGTGGATAATTAGTTCTTCTTCTTCCTCTTTTTTTTTTTTTTCTGGAATGAAGTGTTGTTTTAGTTTGTTGAACCAAATCCATCTCCTGTCATGTGTTAGACGAGAATCTGCAGTGCTTCCTGGGACACGCATAGTATGATCAAAGAGTGCAGTTCATAGGCAAGAATAAGCATGAAGTGCACCCAGATTATAACTCCCATGATGTTCTGCAGGATCCAGATGCACTTTCATGTCATATTGATTCAAAATGAGCTATTTTGTTTTCATTTTTTTGTTAGAAGTAGAAAACCAGAAAAATTATATTTTGCAGGAACTACATAATCCTTCCAAAAACTGTTACACAGAAACATTCCTGTCCAGTTCTCTGTTTGTATTTGATATCCACATCTGCTGTCTGAAATTGGCAGGATGCATTAGATGCATTTGGACAGTCAAGGATGAGAGCTGCTGTGGCAGGCAACTGAACTGGTGAAGTCTGAATCTGGAATGAGAGAGAGTCTTTTCCCCACAAAGTTTATAAACACCATAGATATAAACAGGCTAGCCCAGGAACTTTCCAGCAGCGGAGATATTATGAGCCAAGCCCTGGCCCAATTTCCGTACCGAAACTTCCACTGATTTCAAGGGGTGCAGCTTTTCACCCAGTGTTGTGAGGGTTTCACCAAGGGTTGTAGCTGATTCAAGCAGATGAACTGTTGGCAGAAAGAAATGTACTCGTGGAATTTAGCTCTGTTTTCTGATCATGGCTTGACCACGAACAGATGACAATTCCCAAGCATTTGTTTGCCATTTAGGATGAAAAGCAAAAGCTTGAACTGAATGTAGTGAAGGGAAGCCAATAAGAGATTGACAGCAAATCTCAAAGTACCATTAAAGCTGTTGTTAGGATCTGCTTAGAAAGACTGGCTAACCTAATTGGTGACAGCATCAGATATGTTTTCAGTGTCAACGTTGCCTAGAAAGGTGTTAGCTGATACCAACTAGTCATTATATTATTGAAGATATTCAAGAGGAAACATTTATCCTGCTCTGTACCATGCTATTTATGCATATTTAAAAAGACCAAGGGTGGGCTAAAATTTAGTGTTGTTGTAGACATAGGGGAAATGACTTTTAGTGCCCTCAGTGGAAGAGAAGGTTTAAAATCCCCTCTTTGAAGGAAAGTGGAAAAAAGGACTTTTTTCCCCTCATGAGCATCCACAAATCAAAACCTTGAGATACTTGTGAAATAGCAGTGATTTACCAGACTTTGGAAGACAATAATGAACATCATCCCAGATCTCTGGCTACAGGATATGAGGCCGAGTTCATCCAAGAAAGGCATTTGGAAATTTTAATATAATCCAGAGTAAAGATTTATAGCGCATTAGGGTGAAGATAGGCAAGAATAATGTCACATTAGGCTTGCAATAGTAATAATAATGAACTCTAAGCCATGTTTCAAGAAGGCAGTTTTTCAGAGACCATTCAATGTCTTTGGCAGTGATAAATAGGCTGAACGAATATCTGAAATTCAAAAGTGTTTGTTTAAAGGGAGACCACAAATTCAATATGCTCTCTAAATGTTGGGGGTTTTTTTCAAAACTCAAGACAAATAACTCATTCAATTAAAAAAAAAAAAGAATCCTCCCCTGAATACTTGCATTGTAAAATTTGCAGTCTTTTGCCAGTGCTTAGAAAGCAGATTTTAAATTGGCTATTGCCAAAATTTAAAGGGAATCCATCTTTGTTTCTGAAAGCAGACTTGCAAAGATATGGGGTTGTAAGTTTCACGTTTAAAATTCAACTTCAAGCAACCTGGTCCTACTAGAAATTCAGTGAGGAAATGTCACAGTTATAATTTCAGTATTCCTTGGTCTTACTTCTCCATTTCATGCTATTTTTCTGGAACTCAGCTGCCCAGGAATGTACCAGGTACAGCCACAACCTGACCTTTTGTGTCAAGGGGTCCCTGCAGCCCGAGCACACACAGTTTACAGCTCTGGGCCAAGGCATTATATTATACACTATAAAATGTGTGGCAGAGGCATTTCTTGTCCCCACCCAAAGCACAAGCTACCAGCTGTGTGATGGCTACATGTTTCTGATCCATTTTCTCAACTGCCTCAGGACCTGAAGTGTTTGAGGTTTATCTTAGAGGAATGTACCAGCTGTGATGGACAGATCAAACGTCTCCAAAGCTAAGGCTTGCCTTCACAATCCTCTCCAGCTGCAATGGAACATGAATTTGCAGCTTAAATTTTCAAATGGGATACATGGGGAGAAGCAGCACAGGAAACATCTGAAAATGCAGATATGCTCTGAAAATGACTCCGTAAAAATGGTATCGTGGCACAAATTCTTGCTGGGACTTTCTGATCTAATGCTCTTTTCAAAACTCAAAGGATGATTTCTTTTTTTAACTACTGATGCAGCAAACCATCACCATGGGGTCTGAAACTCCAGCCGGGTTCAATCTCTCTCTTACGTCATCGCCAGTAATAAAGATTCCACAGCTGGAGCTTTGCTGACAGTTGATAATGATGCATGAGACAGTATAAAATCCACATTGCCCTCCAATAGCTGTGTTGGTTTTACAGGGCTAGCGGAGGTAGAATTGTGTTCTTGTCAGCAGGGTGAACAAATGTGACTCAGAGATACATGGCAAGCTGTTCTGTTTAAGCAATAATATTTTTTTTCAGAGTCCCTTTGCTGACCATAAATACCGCCATCCTCAGACTTTAAAATGCCATCTGTTGGAACTTTGTAATACACTTGTGAGGGATGGTGTGACTTATACAGCACTGATGTAATTACATAGCATTGCAGAACCAGAGCTGTGACAAGCATACTCTTTCAAAGGGATGAGTTTGCTTTTGAAAGCTTTTTTCCAGAGGGAGAGAACTCACAGTCAAATGTCACTAATACTGTTCCCAAGCACAGGTATAAGATTCAGGCAGGTGGGAGACAGTCAAGAGAACTCACCCAGCCAGAGGGTCAGTGTGATCAGTTTATGCACCTTGAGTCTCGTTATAGCAGAGTACTTGTTCATCTTGGCAAAATACATTGGAATCAGTAAATTAAATACATTTGGTTGTGGAAACAATGGTTAATGCTTTGACTAGGCTACAGTGAGTGCTAGAGGCTTGAGGCTTGCATATAGTTACCATCCTTTGTGCTTTCCTGCCAGATCCCACCCTATGGACCCAGGAACATGTGCGCCAGTGGCTGGAATGGGCTATAAAGGAATATGGATTAATGGAGATTGACACCACCATCTTCCAGAATATGGATGGCAAGGAGCTCTGCAAAATGAACAAGGATGACTTCCTCCGAACCACCTCCGTCTACAACACAGAAGTTCTGTTGTCTCACCTCAGTTACCTCAGGGAAAGTAAGTATTGCCCTGACTCATCCCAGCCCTAGCTTACATGCTGATAGGATAAGCTGCCATGAGCACTGAACTTCTAGGGCTCTTCTTGCAGGATAAATAGCAGCAAGGATGAAGGAAAAAGAACAGAGGAAGGCAAGCAGAGAGAGCAAACAAGGAAGGGAGGACTAAAAAGTGGGTTGGAAAGTTAATTTTAGCTTAGATGGAGTTAGTGGTGCTATCAGGGAGGTGAAGAACTGAGCAGGACTCTTAAGAAGATTAGATAGTCTTCCAGATAATAAAAACATCTGTGGGTACATGATAAAAATACATAAATTTGCTCTGGAGATTAAACCAAACATTAACTGATGGGTCATGGGCAAATTATTCCATAACTTTGCAGTTAGAGGGCTGTGCACTTTCCCCTAAGGCTTCTGGTAAAGACTGCTTCAAAATAGGACCATCAGCTGGCCAGAGTTGGAGATTTTCTACGTTCATGGAGGCCCAGATTTGTTGGAAAGACAAAAAAAATAGATGATTAATTCCCCAAATGTAAGTGTGCTGAAGCAAACATTGTGCAAATGACCTAGTACTCAAAGAACAAGTTTTCCTGAACCTCTTCATTGCTACTCTCTGTCCCACACTAGAGTATGTGATGGATCCAATACTCCTTTTTGCTGTATTAAGCCCCTAAGACAGAAGCTGTGAGCAGTCTTCTGAGCTACTTCTGGAGAAGCATACCGCAGCAGCCCAAACAGGAATGATCACCTTACAGTTAGCACATGCTCTTGAGGCTGGGAGTGTTAGATTCAGGCCTTCCTAAGACTTCATGTGCAACCATGAGCATGTCCATAGCTTCTGAATGTCTCCTCTTCAGCTATAAAACGGAGGTTAAAGCATTTCTTTTCTTCACAAAGGTGCGCTCAGGATAATTGCATTATGACGAGGCCAGAGAAGTGGAGCTAAATCTCACATGCTCCAATATTTTTTCAAGTGGAACACCTTTTATAGGAGTATAATTATTGAGGACTGAAAAAATCAGGAGAAGGTGCCATAAAGCAAGGTGGGAGGGCAGGGAGAGAAAGAAAAAAGGATATTTCCTCCACTGGGAAATCAAATTGTGATGTAAAGGCAGCTTAAGATGTCTCCATCTGGCCAGTGCAATAAAGCAGCGAGACAGCATTTATTTAGGGTGTTTCTTCAAAGCTGTTCGGTGCTGGTCCCTCCCCGCCTCTGCTAAAATCAGTGGGAGTTTTACAGATTACAGTGGGACAAGAGTTAGATCACAGATGGGTGCCTCTGTAAGCCCCACCTTTATGTTTTTTTGAGAAGTCGAGCCAAGGAAATGATTCACAACAAATAACCAAACTGTTGGATTTGAACAGTTTTTGTCCCTTGCGACTTCACAATAAAATAATTTCCCATCCAAAATAATTTGCAAATTTCATTCTGTTTCATCAGCAAAGAGCTGCTGGTTCACAGAACACTTCAAGATTATTGCAGATGCAAAATAACTTTCTAACTAAGGTTTGCATGCAGAATTACACACTTTTACAGGAAATCGTAAGGCAGTTTTGTGAAGCCAGTGCTGCTTTGGCCAAACCTGCTGACTTTGGCTGGGCAAATCAGATGCTTTGTAACCGGAAATGTTTTTGAATTCCCACAAGATAAATACTCAAGTGAGACTCTTGAATTGTCTTATCAATAAGACTTGAGAATTGACAGAAAGAGACGAAGAAGGAGTTGTATGTTTTTTGAATCAAAGAACCAGGCTGAATTTGAAAAGGTTGGCAGAAGAGTTGAATTCTTCTGTTGCTTTAGCTCCAGACAGCATCTCCAGTGATAGTCTCAAGTGTTAGGTATCCCATTACTTGGGGTGTTCAAAGAGAGTACCAGAGGAATTGCATTCTTGCTCTCACGGTGTAAGCCTGAAGCCCTGGATTCAATTGTTCAGAAGCAAATTCCTGATTGATATCACCTACCTTTAGATACCTGAAGGCCCTAAATTAGAAGTCTGATCACACTGGTCTCTGTTTATAGAAAAAAAGCAACAGGGCATGTTGAAATTCAAGGTAGTAGTCCCCTAGTTCACACATGGCATTTAAATGCCTGAAAATAGGAGGGATAAACCTTTTCCTCAGTTCCTCTATGCTTCAGTTTTACTTCTGTAAAATGGAGCTAGTAATCCTGCCTTCTTGTTGGTCTTGTCTGTTGAGATGGCCAATCTGTGGAACAGGGATTGTGTCTAATGTCTCTCAAGACCCAGCACAATGGAGTCCTAATGCAGTTGCAACATTTAAGTGCTGCTGCGATGCATGCTGAATAATAATCATAAACATATAATGTTCTGCCCAGGGAACGCCTACAATGATTTCTATGCTATTAAGCAAAAAAACCCGAGCAACTTTGCTGGATTCAGACAAATTAGTTATTCCTATTTTACGTGGATGCATACGAAAGGAGAATTCAATCCCAGTCCATCCCCAGCTTTTATGATTATAAATGTCTCTCTGTTCAGCCCCTTGGGTTGTTCTAAGACGTCATGCAAGTGCTGTCCTTATTAAAGCAAGCTCCTGTCTGAGTGGAGGTCAGGAAGCCTCTGAAGAGCATTCCTTTCTGTGCAGCTGTTCCTAGCGCTGCCTAATGACAGTCTGGTTTCTGGATTGCTGGTTAACTCCCTCATGGAGTAACGCCTTCGAAAGGAGCTTATTGTTTTTCCAGACTGATTTCCAGCGGATGTTTAGTGCTGAGCCTCTGAGCTCAGTGCCATGGGGAGATGGGCTTTTTTCATGATTTTCCCCCTCTTGTAAGGTTGTTTGTTTCAAAGACATCCAGCTCTGCTCCTGCTTAGAGTGGAGAATACGTGATGGCAACAAAACACAGGAGAACTTTGGGGAATTGCAGATCTATAGGCTAGATTACATCTGCCCAGTCTCTCTCTTGAAAGGTATTCGTCCTCTCAGGATGTTAAACTGGATATGTGATGACTAGTGAATCCTCAACTTTGGTGTTTGTTTTCCAAGAAATAAAGCTGGTCTGAACTTTCTAAGCCTGTTTGCTAGGCAGGCAAGAAGACCCCCTGAAAATTAGCTGCCTGAGAAGGTTTTCAACTTCTTACACTCCTGATCAGGGTAAAAGCATTCTTAAAACTGCTGATGAAGTACGTTATTTTGGCACATCTGAGTCCAGATTGAAAAAATAAACTGGTAACATCTGCAAGACCTCTACAAAAACTCAATCTTAGTTTTGGAGACAGAAGGTTCAGGTGAGCTATTTAATATAGTCAAGACTAAACCAAACTCATTTCACAGCACCTTTAGTCTTCAGGCAAAACTTAGGTCTGGATCAGAATCATGCAGTTGTTTCCTGTTTCCGTAACCTATTGAAGCAGTCAGGAATTCAGACGTCTCTGATCTTTAGATTTCAGACTTGCAGAACCCAGCTCTGCAGCACACTCTATCCTTTGGAGTCTCTCAAACACTGCCCAGTAGTTTTTTCAGGGAACTTACTGTCCATCCTGTTCAAACAATCGTCTTTCTTTAAGTGTTTCTTCCAGTTTCCTCTCCAAAATTGTGAAGCCATGCCTTGGCTTTTTCTTCTTCTCATTCATCCCCCTGCACCTTCAGACTCCAGACTGAATGACTGCTGTGCCAGTACCTTTTTTCAAACACAGTCTGCCTGGTGAATCTTCTCCAGTCAGCCAATGGGCAGTGTGAAGGCAGATTTGAATTGTTTTCATGCTATGTTTGGGATGAACATCAATAGAAGCCTGAACTGTCACCTCCTGTCCTTTTTCTCTCTAGTTATGGGGGGTCAGTTGTGTGTGGTGTGTACAAATGAAAAGAGCCTGAAGGGGAAAGAATGAGACTGTGGTGAGAAGCAGAAAACTGCTTTGTGGTTTCAGGCCATATATTAATGCCAAACAAAACTATACTGCTAAAAGCAGCAGAACTCTGATTCTACCAGGAGATGTAGAGGGAAGGCTACATGGCCTTCAGAAGGTGAGGATAAAAAAAGGCTTCCAGATTAAATAGACTTCAAGATTGTGAAATCAAGATGTTCCTGCATCTCAGAAGGATGAGCTGCCTTGTGAAAAGGAAGGCTTTATGGGGAAAAAACTTTCCTGGTCTGTTTTTCAGTCCTTTTCCATCTTCCTCTTTAATTAATGCACGGGAAATAAAAGAAGAAAGGAAAAGGTGGGGGGAACCATAAGATAACATGTTTAATATTAATTATAGGAGAATAGCCCTACACTTTATTAATAATACCAGTGTTTCCAGAAAGAGCTGATTTAATCTAAGGTGTCACTGACCCTGTGAGGGGTAGGGGGAATAAAAACAAAATGAAAATTCATCGCAGCCAAAGTTTTGCCCAAGAACAAGTAAGGGAGGGAGCAGCCTGGCCTCTGTCTGTCTGCTTCTCTCTGTCCTGATCTGTGTCTCTGGCTTTCTCTCTTTTCCTCCTTCATTGAAAACCCTTAATAGGAAACACATTTCCTTTTCTGTGGTGTTCCCACCAGAAACCTCAGACTGTCGGGCAAAGGTGAGAACTTTTAGCAATTAAACTGGGGGAGGCGCCGTCCCTTTCCAGTGGCTTGGGCTGCATTTTTTAGCATCAAGTAGCTATAGGTTGATCATACAGGCTTGTTCAGTGCTATTCATCACCCCACCCCCACCTCCTCAGCCAGTCAGTGCAAACAGGCATTTGCAGCCTATTTAGTCATAGAAAACTGTGTTTCTGAATTCCCCAGCACTTCCCTGTCTGGCAGGGGCAAGCTAGGCTGGGCGTTGCATTCAGGATCTACTTCAAATAACCTGAAAAGGAGAGAGTGGCGGACAGGAGTTTCCCCACAGATATTCGAGAGAGAAATGCCAAAGCCAGAAACCATCTGATGAAAACATGAGTTAGGTGGACAAAGCTGTAGTAATTCCTCCTCCAGCAGCAGCAAAAGACCAGCCAATCTCTCTAAATATTTGAGCCAATCACTTTGGCTACCTGCAGCTTTCACAGTCAAGGTACCCTTGGGATCTCTTTGAACTCTTTGCCTCCTAGTTTACCAGATTATCCATCCTGGTCTTTTGAAACATCCCGTCTTGCAGCATCTGGTAGCATCCATCCTCCACTCCCTGTGAGCAGGCTTTGTTTTCCAACACCTTCTACCTCTGTGTACATGCTGGCTTGTGCACGTCTTTGGCTTTGTTTGCATTTGGGGAAGAAAAGAAATCCATAGGAACACAGGGCCAATAAGATCCAGCACCTGCAATGGCTATTACTTCTGGCAGTGAACTGCCTAATCCTCAGCTCTCACAGGAAAGCGAGACATACTATGAGTACTACTGAGGGGCAAGTGAGGTCAGTGTTATTTGGGATCATGTGGATTAGAGGAATGTGGAGACTGCATGGCTTAGTCACAAGATCCTAATCAGTTAGTATTATAGTACCTGCAAAAGAGGTATTCTTAGCCCTGCCAAAGAATCTGGGGATGCTCAGGGGCAGCATAGCATATGCAGAAATCTGTACTGTTTGCTGTGTGTTGCTTAGGACCAAGTACCTTAAATGGGACAGAATCTCACTGAATAGAGGGCTGTGTAGGTATAAATAGCAGTAAGTGTCTGTAAAAGCACTTTTCATCCATATCCCTCCATGGCAAGCTTGGTGCCCTGCTTCAGTTCACATCCTCGGTCCCTACGAAGAAGGGCCCTCTACTTTGTTAGGAATGTCACCACCTGATGCAGTAGAAACTTTTTCAAAGAGCTATTGGAAAGGTGAGCCTGGAAGATTATGTAGGATAAATACATATAACTAGACAACCATGAAATGTGTATTACATGCTGGCTTCCAAGAGTTCACAGGGCCTCTTCCTCCCTTTCCAGAAGAGTTTACAGGAGAACCAAAGTAAAATGCTTAGAAAGGAACATTTCCACTGTAGACTGTGCAAAACAAATACCCTTCCAATGGGGTCTTTTTCGTGCTTCTCTTGAATAGTTTTGTTTCAAGTGGGGCTGGATGGAAAGGCCACTCGGAACCAAGAAAGCCACTTTCAAATGCCACAAAGCATGGGAGATGCTGGAATACCAGTGAGATTTTTGCAGCTCTTGGCCCAAACCCAAGCATGTGACACTCTAAAAATGTTCAGATCCTGACAGTGCAATTCATGTCACTTCTACTGTACGCTGTTCCTCAAACAGGAAATTTCTCTATTACAGCTAGAGAGAGAAAAGTTTCTTCCTTATCCTGTAATACAGTCTGTGCCGTAATAACTTCTAGAGGCTCTGCTGTGGTAGATATTGTACCTGTATAATTGTACTATACAACCTCACCCTTTTATTGCAGTTTTCAATGGAGGACATCAAGGCACTCAGTGAAGGAAGCAAATGTCTTTATTTTGGTTTGCAAGCATAGAAACAGTAGCACATGTGTGACATACAGCTAGCAAGCTATTAGAAGAATTTCATATCCATCATAGAAAACGTGTACCTAATTGTCTGAAAAATTTGATCTTTAGATCCTAGCGACAGCGTTTTCTACTTGCCTGCATGGTTCCCCACTGGCAGAGCAAATTCAAACTGCAATAACTCCTTTTCTTTTCATTATAGGTAGCTCACTGCTGGTCTACAATACTCCATCCCACACAGAAGCTTCCTCACGTCTTGCCACCAAAGAAGGTAAGTCTTTTGCATATAAATGTCCTGGCTTCCAGTGCTCTCACAATGTTTTTGATTGGGTTAAAACTCAACCTTTTATGTAATATCTTTGGAATGAAAATGTTCTGATCTGCTATGCATGCATAGCATGGTTAAAGTAGAATAATTCACAATTTGCAGCCCCATCCATGCTGAAAATCACATCTCCGCTTGTCCAGCCAACATTGTGGCATAAAATGTGTATCTGTCCTTTTCACACTTGTGTATTACTGAGTTGATGAACTGATGGCATATTTTCTGTTCTTTATGTGAAACAGTTTGAAATCTCAGTTATATAGCAAGGACTGAGACACTATTTCTCTCTGAGTTAGTTCATAGTTGAAAGATAAAATTTTCTCACAATAAATTCCATTACTGAATAAAGGCCAGTCAGGTCTTCCAAAACCATTTGTGAATCTTTTAGCTAGTTTCAACCAGCAAGGAAAACCAAGTGTATCTTTTTGACACTTTCATTTTGGAACATTTTGATTTTCTTTTTCAAATAACCCCAAATTTTTAATCTATTAGAAATTCTAGTCATATATTTAGAGCTTAGAAACCTTGAAGTGCTCTATAACTTACTGTGTAGGACTAGTAGCCTTGAGTTTGGTCTTCCTTTCCCTTTGTGTAACTGCAGGAACATTGGTTTCGTTCAGCGAACTATGTTCAGCTCCTCCATTTGAAAAACTTCTGGGAAAAGTGTGAAATCTCATGTCTGTCATATGAGATAACACACCTAGAAGCAGCCTGCTCTCATGCTGAGATAGTTTCCTCACCTCATATATAAACATCTCTATGCTTTTCAGGAGAACATGGCTTCATTGATGAGCCACAAGTTTGCATTTCAAATAGTGGGGAAAGGCAGAAAGTCTTTTATTTAAGCAGCTGGGGAGAGAGAGACAGAACCCCCCATTTCACTGAAAGGCTACAGCAAACTGAGATCACACATTTAACAAGCTTCTGCATGGTGTGTCTGGCTGCTTCATTGACTAGCACTGCTCTTAGAGCCAGCACTTCTTTCTCGTTGCACCATGCTGCATTTCATCTCCAACATCTGTCTTGGACCCTGGACACAATATCGGTGCTGTTTTTTACAGCAGCTTCTTTTGTCCAGCATATAACTATCTGTTTGAGCTGCCTGTTCCCTAGCATGCTGCTCTCTCTTTATGAGACAGGCATTAGTTGATAAAACATGGTAAATTACAGAGACAAAGCCATTCAGGCTTTTCTGTGACTGACTACTTTGATACTAACAGCCATCTATTTAAAATTAATAAAAGCTAGGCTTGCTCCTATTTGAATAAAGCAGACACACATACACGTGTTCCTCCACAATTTCCCCCATAAACATACATGCACATCCAAGACTGTGCTCTTTCTGTCTCAGGCCAGGTGGTTGCTAAAAATAAAGGGAAGAAAGCTGCAATTTTTTTTATTAAAGAGAAATGCTCTGTGTAAAATTGAACTCCTCTGAATTTTTTGCACCCTTTATCTTTGCAAGTTGGGCCTAGAGTCACTCAGGTAGAAAGAAATTTGAGGGAAAAAATGTTCCTCCCCCTCCATTTTTACTGCCCTCAAGTGTGTTTCTTTAGTGCAGCTGACAGAAGTTTGCTTTGATTTCTGTCAGCTAGGCGTTTTTAATTTTACATGGTACTTTCATCATGTGTCAATAAAGGACTAAACACACCCATGGGATAGTCAAATAAAAATTAAGAACTAGCATAGAAATGTTGAAATCCCATCTATTCCCCTTACATTTCTTCCTACAATGCATAAATTTCCTCTGCATGCATTTGATGTCTGAATACTGTTCTAGGATAAACCAACCCACTTCAACCTACTGTAACTGATTCATGCGCCAAATATTATTCGTGAGATAAGATGACAGGATAAGAGACATGTGAACATGACAGGCTGACTGATAAGGAATTGGAGGAGCAGAGTGAAGTGTCTTGTCCAATATCACAGAAGAAACTCCTGATGGACATAAAACTGGACTTGGAATTCCTCAACCTCGGTCTAGCCTGTTAGGCAACAAGATTTTCCTTGCTTCCTTTTAAGGCTTTTTAATGGGCTCGCTTCAAGGTGATGATATTCTTTTGGAAAAGGAATTTCAGGTTAAAAATAATGATTTTTTATACGTATTTTCTTGTCTCCTTAACTTCTCAAAAGATGAAACATTTTTCTTTATGTTAATGCATCTTGAATCTACTAATCCTGTAAACATTTCTTCTCTCTATGCCTGTGAATAAAAACATACAAACAAATTTTTCTAACCACCTTCCCTTGAGGATTCAAAAGAAGGAGGAGGTGATGAAATAGTACAATACATGTCAGAGATAGGAAAAACCCACTATTTTCTTCACTCCTGTATTTTTTCTTGCACGTTCTCCAAGATGACATAGCTAATGCAAATAACCTGCTTATGCAAATTCCAGGGAGAAATGCATGCTCTTTGTATACGCTTACACCATGCTTTATACAATGTATTCCATCCACATACTGTAAAAAAGAACCTACATGGCAAAAAAAGGTACAGCTGCAACACAGCGAGATGCAGATGTTTCAGATGCAGCATACGGCTCTGCTCTGTCCCGAACCTTTACAGACATAGCAGGGCATGCTCTGTAGCCACAGCAAGGACGATGTCACGCAGGAGCACAGGGCACCACTTGACCTGTGGCCCACGCTGGCAAGGGCAGCACTGGTGTCACAGGACTGGGTTTCGTGCCATGGCTCTGGAGACAGAACTGCCTTGGCTGGTTGCAGCTGCAGACTTTACTCCCTTTTTCCCTTCTATTTTCTGCCCTCTCACTTCTCTTCTGCAGTGCCAGCTCTGCACACAGAAGAACCTGTAGCACTGCTTTAGGAGAGTTAAACTACTTTCGTAGGAGAAACAGATACTGTAAACTGATACAGCTGGTGCACAAAGCATATGCATTTTGTTCTCAGATGAGATAGGTAGAAACCTTGTCGTGTTCAAAGGACTCTTGTTGCCTGAGCTTCTTTGCTTCTCAGCCTCATAAACACTCAAAAGTATGGTATTTAGCGTCATTGGTACAAATTGTCTTCAGCTGCCTTTGAGAAATAAATTGCTCTAATGAAAATCACCAGTATTTTTTGGCTAGAGAACAATTTTCTGGAAAATGAAACGAGGTTGCTCTCATTGCTGAATGGAAAGATTTGTGTCCCACTCCCAGCACTCCGCTGGAGAGACGGTCTGTTTCATTTTCCGTGACTGTTTGGAGCAATGACTGACCTACTGTAGGTACCGGAGACATGGGAGAAGAATCTGAGACCACATTATCTGCCCAAGTCCGTGGAGATTTTAAATTGCTTGCCTTCAGAATGCTGTCATTTAAGTAGGTTTCCATAGGGAAAGGGAAAGTATATTCACATACAACAACATTTAGGAGGCCAAAGGGCTGTGTCCCATGTGGTTGTGAGCATCCTGGCCTCAATCCAACACATTTTTGAAGTCCATGCTTACTTTTAAGTATGTTGGGGTCTGCATAACTCACATGTTTAATATACAGGCCTGAATCCTGTGAAGGATTTGAACCCAAGCAGGACAGTGCTGGCAGTTTCCAAAGAGGCAGAATCGGGATGTGTTGATGTGTAAAATTACATGTGTCTAAACAGGCATGTAGGAGTGTCTGGTGTGGTATATGTCGTGCTTTGCAGTATGTGCCGATACACAGTAAAGTGGGTATTTGTGCAGTGAGGTGGCAGAGTGGGATGAAGGCAGGCTCAGCTGATAAGGGCTACACCCGCACATCACGCCTGAGAATTTAGTGGAGCGATTTTGTGTGGCTGTTTGCCTCCATGTTACAGGTTATGTATGATCTTGACTAAAAGGCTGGATTCAGCATGGGTTTTTATCCTCCAGCACTGTCCTCTGCATATGTCAGGCTCAGCCTAAGGCAATATAGTTAGCTTAGAATAGTGGTAAACCAGCACTAGCCCAAAGTCTCACAAATCCAATGTAAATTCAAGCAGAACACCGGAAAAGCTGATGTGCTACCTGCATTTTCAAAGGGGGAATAAGTTTGTATGTGAATACATGAATATGCATATAGGAGGTGAATTTTAAGAATGTAGTCTGTGGCTATCCCATTTTTATGTTTACATTATAGAAGTGTTTGTGTGAACAATAAGGATGTTTGGGTATCAGGTGTGTTTGCCTTTATGTTTTGTTCACTTGTTGGCAAATTTAAGAAGATAAGCAAATCAGTGAGCTCTGAAACGCACACAGCGTGTTTCCCGTGGGTTTGTACCCATGTTCATTGTGAGCCCCTAAGGAAGAGTTACCTGATTTTAGAGCATTAATAAGATCTCTCTCACACAGATTCCCTGGTACCTAACAAAATACGAGTCCGTGCAGCTGCTTTTCTTGCCGTCAGGACTGCAATCTCTCTCCTCTTTCCCTAGCAGTTTCCTTTAAATTGGTAGGAACACTTTAAAACTCACCTCTCCCACTTGTCAAATTCGGTGACAATTTGGGGTGACAGGTTCAAAAGTTTTAGGGACTGGAGAGAGGGGGGCAAAGAGACCACAGGGAGCGTGGCTGCATAAGCATGGTTCCCACAGGAAAATGGTCTCCAATTCCTGCATAAAATTCTTCTCTTGAAAAGGCTATTTTTCAGGTCTAAAAGGTTGTCATGTGAAAAATATTGACCAGTTTCAGTCAACTCTTCTTTTGAGTGTGTCAGTAAGGCCCCTTGTTCACAGCAAAGGTTATAAACCCTCCAGTCTTAGTCGTGTCAGAGAAAAAGCAGTTGCAGCTTCATGCCCTCTTAATTGTCTGTACATGCTAAAACATTTGTCGATGATATTTGTGTGCCTGGTGATGAAATATCCCATTTTTAGCTCTGTAGCAGAAAAAGGGGAGGCTTTTTTGGTGCTGCTTTTATTTCAACTGTGTGGCCAAACCAGGGATTTACGATTTCAGGAGAGACAGTAGCTAGCGCTCTTGGATTTTT